CCTAGTGTACTGTTGAATGTGTGACTTTACAACATAAAATAAGAATATAGTGTACTATCAAATGTGTGACTTTAAGAAATAAAGTATGAACCTAGTGTACTGTTGAATGTGTGACTTTACAACATAAAATATGAACATAGTGTACTATCAAATGTGTGACTTTAAGAAATAAAGTATGAACCTAGTGTACTGTTGAATGTGTGACTTTACAACATAAAATATGAACATAGTGTACTGTCTAATGTGTGACTTTACAAAATAAAGTATGAACCTAGTGTATTATCAAATGTGTGACTTTACAATATAAAGTATGAACCTAGTGTATTATCTAATGTGTGACTTTACAATATAAAGTATGAACCTAGTGTACTATCTAATGTGTGACTTTACAACATAAAATAAGAATTTAGTGCTATATCGAGTGAATTACTTTATAATATAGAATATAAATCTAGTGCGCTATCGAACATGTGACTTTAACAGTATAAAATAAGAACCTAGTGTACTGTTGAATGTGTGACTTGTAGTTAAGCACAAAACTAAACAATGCGCTATCTGTGCTCTGCCCACCTGAGGTATTGAAACCAGTTTTCCAGCGATTTAAATCGGCAGATAATATAATATAACAATTTAGTGTACTATGGAATGTGTGAATTTATTACATAAAATAAGAATCTTTTGCGCTGTCGAATGTGTAGTTTAAAATTATATTGAGTGTTTCCTGTTTAGTTGTGTGTTCTATCATCAAAGAAATTAGAATTTTATGTGACTGTTGAATCAAAGCTGTGTCGTCTAGAGTACTTTTAACAACAAAAGATTGTCGCTAAATGTTGTTAAACATGGCTTAGTTCCAAAGGTTAAAGTAAAGGTGACAACTGTTTAGGGTTATTGTATGAGAAGAGAAGGGGGCAAAGATTGAGAGTGCCCCCCTACCCCGTGTATATATATATATATAAGTGTGTGTGTGTGTGCTTTGTACGTCAACATATTTAAAAATAAAACTACAGGGGCTGATATATTCAGAAAATATAATCTGTGATTCATTTAACACAAAAATACAAGTATGCATCTGATAGTGACCAGTTAGAAAAGAGGCTGTGGTCACTGCATCATATCATGAACGATATGAAATAAAAAAAATAAATACAAAAATCATTCGTTTCGATCTATTTGTTTAATATTTGCATACTGTATTTCGGATTAATCAATTAAATTCAACATGCACATTGGTTTAGTAATTATTAGTTCCTTAAACTAAGCAACAGAAAGGAAAGTTTGACCTAGGCGTAGGTCTCTATGTTGCCGCGGACCGTGGGAATCTCGTCCGTGCGGTAATTCGCTACCGTGGGGAGCACGTATTTAGTTTCTGAATGATGATAAGAGCTCAAAGCATTGATATTAAGTCATTTGATATATATAACAAAGATATTTTCGTTAGTTATTCCTCACTACTGCATTTTAACGTTTGCTATAAGTAAGACTGTTATCGTCATAAGTTTACCCACGTCTCAAAATTTGAATAGATTAACGTTTATATTATACATAATAATTACAGCCACGAAACAAAAGAAAGAAAATCTTTATGCCAATATATTGCAAAAAGTTCCGAAATTTTGTTGTTAGAATAAAAAATTATCAATTTAAAACAAAACTATTGTTCGAACTATGAAGTTTGTAATTGAGCACAAAGCTACAGAATGAGCTATCTGTGCTCTGCCCACCACGGGTATCGAAACCTGGATTCTACTGTTGTAAGTCCGCAGACATACCGCTGTGCCACTGATGGGCGAACTAAACAATAACTTTATAAAAATCCTAAGCCTAATACATGAAGGATACATCATTCAATATTTATGTGGAAGAATGTTAGGGAAATAGGGCGCTCTAGGTGGTCCAAATATTTTGGATGATTTTTATGTCATAAATAATTCTTTGAAGTGGAAATTATGGACAAGTACCAGATCAAGCGAGATAATGTTTTGATTACCGTTAATCAGTGGCGCCATCTTAAGGGTTTCCTTAACGATTTAACTTTTAGGTGTATCGGATTTACTTCAGGACAAACAATATGTTTTAAAAACTGTTGAAACATGGTAGAATAACCCTGTGGCCTAGGAATTCAATCATTACTTGTCAACAAATGTAAGTAAAAAGTATCATTTTTAAAATGAAGTAAAAATAATAACATATAGTAATCCATTTAATATAATTGCAGCGAATATTATATTATACTTAAAAAAAAACAACCACAAACTATATCTAAACATAACAAACATTCCTTTATATGTAACCTGAGAATGATAGTAAACGTCAACGTTTGTGTGTTGAACCCCCCCCCCCCCTACCCCACAAGAAACAATGCAAATGTATGTGTGTCAATGTAACCATATGTGGGATGAACTTAGCACAAGAACTAATATTCATATTTGTGTTTTTAACCCCTCCACTAGAACCAATGTAAATATTTGTCTGCTGAACCCAACACTAGAATCAAGGTAAACATTCATGTGTTGAACTTGTGATTAAAACCACTGTAAACGTTTTTCGTAGAGATTACTTACTGTACTAGATGAAAATGTCCACGTATACGACATTATACTGGATCAACAAGAATGTTTTAACGTGAAACATGGCGACATTTTTAAGAGTTTAACGACTTATGTAAGATATGAAAATATTTCGCAACCATTAAGTAATTTGTTATCAATAATGATGAGGAAGGAAGATATTATTTAGTTCCTGCATGTCTTTATTAAAAGATTCCGCTGAAGCTTAGTAATTCCTAAAACTTGGGAAACAGAAGATTCATTAACGTGGGCTGGGAAGTTAATTGTTTCAGAACCAGATTTAAGGTTTCATTACTGACGAATTGAGGAACATATACTTTCATCAAAAGTGTCAGTTGATGGATTGGGTTACAGAATCAGATTACAGTTTATATATCGACGTGCTGGAAACATAAAACATAACTTCACAAATTGAGGGTGTGGAGAGTTTGGGTATTTCAAAAGTGAACCGATACTTTGATAGAAAGAAAAATGTAGGAAAGACAGATTTTTTCTGTTTCAGCTGACTTATGAGAGAATGCCAAATATTTCAGGATGACCATTGCCGACGACGCGCTTCGCTCAATCCAGAGCTCATCGGGCCAGCTGGGATACAACAAAAACAGCAGTGATCAAAACACTATTTATATATGCCAGTTGATACAATGACAATTGCTATAGTGTGTGTAGGTCTTATGACAAATATAATTGTAATTACTCTTCGCCAGCTTGTAAAAACCGTATTACACCATCATCACTCTTCGTTATCGGGATTCGGTTCATGTTTTGGACAAGGGATGGTCAGGTTCAGCGTAGACCTCTTCCTTCCTCTCTGGAATTGTTATTTTTGTTTGCACTGTTACTGAATCCTAGTTAATAACCTTGTTGCATTACTCGCAGTATGTTAAATTGTTCACACTGTTACTGCATCCTAGGTAATAACCCTTGTTGCATTGCTCGCACTATGTTAAATTGTTCACACTGTTACTGAATCCTAGGTAATAACCTTTGTTGCATTACTCGCAGTATGTTAAATTGTTCACACTGTTACTGCATCCTAGGTAATAACCCTTGTTGCATTACTCACAGTATGTTAAATTGTTATTTTGTTCACACTGTTACTAAATCCCAGGTAATAACCCTTGTTGCATTATTCACAGTATGTTAAATTGTTATTTTGTTCACACTGTTACTAAATCCTAGGTAATAACCCTTGTTGCATTACTCGCAGTATGTTA